GTTAGCTTCTCTGAGTTTCTGAAAAACTGAGTTGTGCCGACCATATTAACTGATGCGTTATCTGCACCATAGGCACTGATCTGGCTGACTGAAAGTCCATTGTTCTCAGTAATAGGCACTATTTGTTTGAATATGGCTTCACTAGATTCGTTGGAGTCGTCGTAAAAGTCTAACAATCCATATGTAGCACTAAGAATATAAAATGGGACAGATATCAAAGCACCCCCCTTTAAATTTCAAACTGTTCATATTATTGTTAGTTACTTGTATGACTATTTCATTGTGTTCAGTTTGGTGAGACTCGGAGTCGCCAGCAGGGGGCACCCGGGAGTTGCGCGGCGCATGAGTGGCTGACTTAGCAGCATAGAAGTAGTCCAGCACGAGATGAAGCGCGAATGTGCAGAGAAATGTGCTCCTTGTTTGAACATTGTATTTTCTTGTGTTTCATACAGGTAAGCTGACAATAACCTTACACTGGTATATGTATAACAGTATTATATTCTTATAGAGCCATAGTTTGTGCCTGAAACGTTAAGAAAAGTGAAGTTTTAACGGTGATTAAGAGTTATGTCGTGAAATGGCGGACGGGAGTGTTAACTATTTAATTAGTAGAAAACTAGTAACTCTTAACGTGAGCAAAACGGAGTAATAAAGGTTTAAAAAGATATACTCGACGTGAGTGTGGGATGAGGCATAATTAACCGAATATATGTGTATGGACATTGATTAAAATGCGTGTTGAGACAAGTCTGGGCAATTGGAGTTAATGAGCCACACGTGACTGTTCTTAGCCCTCGTATATACACGTGACCCTCATTTAGCATTGCTTTGTCAGCCATTACATGTAAAAATAAAGGACGTTAATACTGTTAAATTAAGAACCACAGTCAGATTGAGAGGTAAAACAGTTTATTAATTTTGTGAGTTCATAGTGATAACACAGTAACTGTTAAATGGTTAAAACTTAGTTGATAATGTAGTCAGGTCATTAGCATATTTCATGGAAGAGTAAAAAAAGATTAAAGACAAGTTAAACAGTGATATGAAAGAGTATTAGGAATACACGTGCAGTTATCAATGTTAGAGTAATGTGGGTATAGACTGAACTATTGCTGATACCTGAAAATCTATTTTAATTCCAAATATTATTCACATGCTTACTTGTTTGAGTTTAAATGTATGACTCATAGAGTTTATTGTACTTTAAAGATGTTATTTTTCAGACCTTTTCCTTTTATATTGTTTAATAACGGGCATAGCACATGTTTAGATCCATGTTAATGTGTTTGTGTAAAGAACATGTATTTTCTGAAAATGGAGTATTGTAAGGAGTCTAGTATAGTGTGACGCATCAGCTTAGACATAAGACATGTGGTTTAAGATAATTTGTGAATGTATCACAGGAAAAGAGCCTAGAAGTAGTCCAGCACAAGATGAAGCGCGAATGTGCAGAGAAATGTGCTCCTTGTTTGAACATTGGATTTTCTTGTGTTTCATACAGAAAAATAAATGTGTTGCACCCGGAAGTGACATTGCCTCATTCCAAAAAGTGTAACACATACTTCACACCCTCGGATGCACAGAAATACTGGACTGTGTAGGGAAACAATTTCGTGTGCCCAGAATTGGATGCATCAGAACATACTGAAAAATAGTGTGCTTTCTGCAACTCTGCTGCTAATCTTTGCTGACTAAATTGTGCCAACACATTTTCCACTAAGGCCTCACTTTTAGTTCTGCCACAAGACATTTTAGTTGCAATATCAGAGTCACTGAATATTTTTGCACTGACCTTGTTCCCACAGTCAGTTGACAGGTAGCTATGGCCATGTCGCACACCGTAATAGGTAGCTGTTAATTCGGCGACAGTAATTTTGTCCTCTGAGGTTTTTGTAATCATGAATGATGAAATTGCCTTTGTTTGTCTGGTTACTTGAACGCGACTCTTATGTTTCTTCGTTTTAGCATGGTCATCCAAAGCAGTTTTGCCTTCATGTTTAACCAGAATTTTAACTGAGCATACGGAGCAAGTAGCATATAGTGGATCGCCTGGTGTTGGCTTTAGCCATGTGGAGTAATTGTCATTTTTCATCCAGTCATTATTAAAGTAGGTCGAACGTTTCGTTTTCTTTTTTACTGGCCTGTCAGTCTTTGTTGACACACTGTCATCTTCGTCCTCCGTCTCGCCACCCATGTTAACAGCAACAAACGATGTTGACGACGTACAATTTTCTTCACTGCTTCAATTTGCCGCCTGTAGTAGCTGGCTAGCTGCCAAGAAAGACACGCAGCGCGCTAGATGACGTAGTCTACGTCACACAACACAACACACCCGTCCAAGAGCCAATGATAGCGCATTCTACGCACAAGAGACACCCTATGAGAGACACCGACCACTCTGAGCAGAGCATAGGCTATTTCAAGTGAGAAAGTAGTTAATTTAAAGGGCATATTGCAGGTTAGAGGACCCAACGAGTCAATGCATAGAAAAACAATGTAGGAACTAGATTTTCTTTAAAATATACGTATAAACACGCCACAGAAGCTTCTGCAGTCGTTTTTGTGAGAAAATTTTACTTCCACGTCTGAAAATGGGCGTGGCGGGCGTGACGCAATGAGCGGGAGAGCGGTCGATTCACACAACAGGAAAACAATGGATCGCATGACATTTCGGACGCTGAGGAAATACTCGTATGACGGATCAAGCCATAAAGTTATGAGCCTGCTATGCTAAAGAGATCAGGGACAGGCCAGGATAATGTCAGACAGAATGGTCAGAGAAAAATTGACCTGTGATGTGAGGAGAACCAGTGGAGAACAGGACTAGGTGCCTTTTAGGTGAGAGACGTGCTTATAGTATACACGTTCGCTAACGATACACTGTGCTCACAATACTGTACAGATTCTATAACAGGCCAGCAGACATTAGTATGTTTAGGGTAGATTTATATACTATTAAATGTATAAAAACTTTACTTGAGTATATTTCTATACTAAAAGCATAGGCTATACTCGGGTAAATTTTTAATACATATTTTTCACCTTGGTTATAACATAAACAGAACATTAAAGGTTTGAGTATTTAAACAACCAATTTTGTTTTTCAATTACAAGTTTTATTTAGGGCATGACATGACTAGTTACCTATATAACACTATTTGATGCCATTGGTAGTATACCACGATCAATATTCTTGCTTCGGCATACCATGTTGAACTCCATCATATCGCCGGGATGCTAATCATTTGATCTGAAGTGAATGCTACACACGACCGCGTTTCCCGAGCCGATGCAGAGGAGAAATCCCGTCTCTTCACCTGCTCAACCCGCACCAGGAACGAAAGATAGGCTATATAGCACCGTCCCTTTTATTGTAATGGAAACTTGTGGACTCAATCTTGAAGTCCTGACAGGCTGGAGTTTTTGCAATCTCCACAAACACAATAATTTACCATGACGATGATAAATTAAAATGCAAAAACTAACGATAGCACACTGACTGACGAGCGCTCTCACTGAACACCAGCCTGCTCTCACTGAGCCGAGGCTGCGGCTCCCTGATATGACGTCAAATGACGCGATGTTGAAAAAAAAAGCCGTTTTTACTAGCAGTCCAAGAAACGCTCACTTTATCTTCTAAATTAGTGTCCTTATGTTGTTTTAAAACATTTTAAATCCTGCATTAACTTTTCATATGGTATTTTCATACAAGGTTATCTATAAATTTCGATTTTTTTTTTTTTACCTGCAATATGCTCTTTAACATACGTAGCCTTTCGAAAACCGGGACATTCAGTGTCCGGGAGAGTGGATAAATTTCCCGGGACAGGTTATTAAAAAGAAGGACAATCCCGGTAAAACTGGGACAGGTGGCAACCCTAGTCAGAGCACGTGAGTTTGAGATCGCAATGGCAGCTAGTATGCAGTACGCATTTAATGAAGATACCACTTTTCCGCTGTGATTGTGAAGATTGTCATTACCCTGCCATTCAAGTGACATCTCAGTTTGATTCATCTTCAAGTTTATTTTCTCTTTGGGACAGTACTGTGAAACGTTTGAGACAAAGTTGAATGTATTTTTGAACTTGCACACTTCAATACGAGATTTTCAGTTTATTGCAACGCACCCCACGTCCAGACCACTCTAATTCATCGTTCTACAAACTGGTATTTTCCTGTATTTTCAGTGACTGAACTGAGAAACGGTGAACTGTGAGTAAACGTTTGAAAGAGCTCATTCAGGGGTGAGATTTGATGTTATGTTTATGTTTGTTGACAAATGTGATTGTTTGAATGTGATCTTTTGAAAAAGGTAATAATTTGTGGGTATAGAAATTGATTCATTGAAAAGTATCACATTTCATAAGGTTCCATAAAGGGTTTATTATACCAGAAGTGAAGAGTTTTTTTTTTTCTTTACAATTTCAGTGTTGAGAGTTTTGGTGTGAATTCAAAAGACAACACAAAGACTGTAAATTTACTTTATTTTATTCTTTATTTAGACAAAAGACATTACCAATCAATTTAATTGTTTTTTTTCTTGTACTTATTTACAGTATATCTTTTCACTGAGAGCTGCTAGGGAGTGGGGAGGTCTCGCTTACTTTATTAGATCTGGGGAGGGAGAAGCATTACACACTGTGTTCTAACATATGCAATCTTTCTTCAAGAAGCCACCGTGCGACATTATCTTTATTATCTTACCTGAAGCCTACCCTTGTCGATCTTTAGATTTCTTGCACAATAAAGTAAGAAACACACACATTAGCGTGTAACGAGACTAAAACGTTTGGGGAGCGAGGACCAAGATCCTTCCGTTGTCCAAACTTCCAGAGCAGCCATAATCCATTTCCCTACATGACGGGCTAAATACCTGGTTACATTTACATCCGCTCTACTGTCATTATTCTACGCTGTGAGATCTTCAGGTCAAATTCCTGCATTCTCTACACAGCAAACTCCTATAAAGCCTATGAAGTTTGGATTAGAATTGTATTGAACTAATCAAACAAATCACCCTCTGTCAAGCTGGATTTGTACCAGATCTTCATATTGGTCCTGTACAAGTCGGCAGTATCTGGAAAGTGTCCACACACCATTCTGAACAACAGGATCCCCAGAGACCAGACCGTCGCCGGCTTCCCGTGAAACTCGCCCTTCATTCTGTACTCGGGAGGGCAGTACAAATCTGTGCCTGGAGGAAAGAATGTTTGTCAGATGTGTGAGTCTCTACCACAGCAGTGTTGAGTTAATGATTCACAAGAGCTCTGAGAACTGATACACACCAGAGAAACTCGTGTAGGGAGATTCTGTCAGGAGTTCGCCGCATCCAAAGTCGATGAGTGTGACGTCGCGGCTCCTGACGTTTATCAGCAGGTTCTCCAGTTTGATGTCGCCATGGTAAACTCCGCGGCGACAGCACGCATCAGCGGCTAGTGTTGCCGACCACATGATGTGCCGCGCGATCTTCTCCTCGATGCGGCCGCCGCTGTGTGCCACGAAGTCGAACACATCTATGCAGTCGGAGAAACGCTCGAGGACCATGACGCAGAAGTCCTCCTGGTCCTGCCAGTCCAGAAGCTTGATGATGTCCATCGCTGGACCTTTGCTACTGGCCAGGATCGTCAGAGCCACTTCTTTGGGAAGGGGTTCGGGATGATCAGGCTGGCAGAAAGGCACATATGATGTCAGATGCTTTAAAATAGGGATTTAACTCAGTTTGTCTGCTGATCAAATCACTTTTACTCACAATGCTGATGCACTCCATGTCTTCTGTCTTCTGGATGAACTTCACCGCCACCTGATGGACAAAACAAAAAGCAATGAATGTGTGTAGAGATCATATCATAACGTCCAAGCAAGAATTGAAATCCCAACAGGTCAAGAAGAGCCCTTAATAGTGAACAGATGATACAGTAAGATGTCTTGCTTAGGATAAAGTGAGATATCAAAGAATTTGCTAAACTATTAATAAAAAAAAAAAAAAGTCAAACCAGCTTGTTATCCGCCAAACGAGTGCCTTCATAGACGGCACCAAATCCCCCTTCCCCCAGCTTACGGCCGAATGAATATCGGCTGCAGATTTCGTCTGTTAAAAGAGGAAGAGAAGGAGACGAGGTTTAGTGGGGTTTAGTGTTCTCCTGGTGACGGAGAGGAGACGTTTCACCCGCTGTCAGACGGACTGGAGCGTCGAGGACTGGAGTTTGAAGCTCGGCGGCGGGAAGGACTTCAGGATCATCGACAGGAGGTTCCCTCAGATCAATGACCTCTCCAGATCTAGAGATGGACTGTGGAGGATTTTCATCTAAACAGGAGAATATCAGCACAAGAAGTGAGCAGCTAAAACAATACTGATTTATGAGGAACAGCAATTTTTAAAGTGTAAAGTATAATATTACACAATTTTTACACTTTTGAGGTTCCTTAATTAATTTATTATTGAAAGAAAGTTAAAAATTCTTTGTTTTTAAAACCATTTTACAGGGGGCAGAAGTTCCCGTTACTCATTTAACAGGTGTACATTATGAAGTGACTTTTTCATGTAGGAATATAATGTAGGAAGGAACACTTTTCCAGTTTTTCATGATAATATTCTCATAACATGGTTGTCATTTACCGTCGGTACTTCTCCTGGGTGTTTCCGTCTCTTGATCCTTCATGATCTCATCCTGATCCGAGCTCGTGTTTTTGCGTCTGAAAGAGAGACACTTGAAGAAGTTGAAGTCGCCCGGCGCTTTCTTCATCTTCTTCTTCATCTTCCTCTTCAGACGCGAGATGGGACGCTGGTCTCTCTCTCCCTCGGGCTTCTCCTCGTCAGGCCGATGGGGAAGATGGTTTGACGGTGAGCGGTCACGGTGATGGAGGTCGTGAACCTGCTCGCTATCCGTAAACGCTTGTACTCGTGAACTCTTCTGTCCCATGATGAATCGCTGTTGTGTATCAATCACACTAAAGCAGCTGCAAACTCAGTAAATGAGTGAAGAGTTGGAGAGTTACACGGCTTTAACAAAGCGCGCGAACGTTCTAAAAATCATCAACTCTCTATGACGTCATAGCGGCTCTGGTCTGGTGCCACTGTTATAGCTGAGGGAAACATTTCTGTTATTTTCTGTACTGTTTCCTCTCAATATTACAATGGTATTCTCATGCTTATAGAATTACATCTGAATCTAATTACTTTACAGTTTCTCAATTTAAAAGTTCTTAATTTAAACTTAATTTAAAGTTCTAATCAAATAGCCTACCTAAAAACGGCTAAATAGTTTGAAACATTGTTATGTTACACATGTTTATTAAAAAAATACATATAGGGAATGTTGTCTGATAAATTCATTTTGTAGAAAATATTAACATTTGTAGTGAAGTTTTCTAAAATTATAGGCCTTCAATTCGTAGCAGCTTAGCAGACTCACACATTTCACACTGATTTCAATTATTTTATTAAGTGGCCAACTTCTAAAACAGCTAAATGAAGCGTTCAGATGCAAACGCCTCTAAGTGCCATTTGAGATTTTCTTCTTTAATGATGATTTTTATCAAACTTGTATATTTAAGTTCAGTAATTTCACGTAAATAACAATTAATAGGTAATTATCATTGCCATTTAAGTGAAATCACTGAACTTAAATATACAAGCTTGACAAAAATCGTCATTAAAGAAGAAAATTTCAAATGGCATTTAGAGGCTTTTGCATCTGAACTCTTCAAATAGTTTTAAACAGTGTACCCTAGTTATGTTGTTTAACATGTACACATGTATGTTTAACATGTACACATGTTTATTAAAAATAAGAATGTTGTCTGCTAAACACATGTAGAAAATGTAGTGATGTTTTATAAAATTATAGGCTTTTACTTAGCGTAGGTACTGCAGCAGCAAGATAGTAGCCAAACAAAGTTTTCTGTTGTAGGCTATATTTAAGAATATAAATATAAATATTTATTTTGCTATTGTATCTAGGCTATATTCAAAGACACGATAAGAGCTGCTCGCACCACACATCCATTTTATCATGAAAAACATGACAGAGCAAAGAGTAGGCAAAACTGAATTTAGGATATAGGCCTATCTGAAAAGGAACATGTAGATATCTTGAACTGAGGTTAATTAAAGATATCTTGAACTTAAGTTTTGAATTAAATTGTAGATATCTCAAACTGGAATTACAGATATCAACAAGTTGAGTTGCAGATATCCGATATGTAATTAGAATTGTCAAAATATCGACGTAATTCGAATCAATAAGGTTTGATGATGTTGTTTTAGAGCTATGAATTATCTTCAACTTGCATATTTGGTCATTTAACTCCCCTGTGATGTCTCTTGGTGTATTTCGTATCAGAATACTCTCAATGGAGAATTTTATGTATACTACTATACTACTAACTGTATTATTATTTCACCAATTTCATGTTGTTATGGATTAAGGGTAAATAAATATAAAAATATATTATTTTAGTGTTTATGTTACATCCTGTAAATCTTATTCTGCTTTAAAAAGAATATGAGTTATATATTGTACATTTATACAGTATTTACTTTTTTCATAGGCACTCATAAATGCCCTGGCTGTCTCCTGGCTGGGAGATCTCCTCACAGGAGGCTGAGCCGTTCTTCCTTTCTGGTCTGGATTATCATTGCAGGTCAGAGTAGATTATTCATTATTTTTGCACAATGCCCAGTGCACCCTTTTTTTTACTGATAATTTCTGTTACAGTAACACAACAGTGACTGTTCTCCGATAACTATTTCAGTGAAGTGGAAGATTTTAACAGACAAATTGACAAACAATTGAGAAAGAAGGAAAGGAGACCATTCAATTCTTGGCTGTTACTTTTACATTTACACATTTGGAGTTTGGAATTACATCAGTAACATGAATATTCAGTTTGACTCTCTCTCTCTACAACTCCAACATTTCATAATTGTTTAGTGTTGAATCAGAAATATATATTTCAGTTGAACATGTTAAACTCATTTGTATTTCTCTCTCTCTCTCTCTCTCTCTCTCTCTCTCTCTCTCTCTCTCTCTCTCTCTCTCTCTCTCTCTCTCTCTCAGAGTTGAAGCCATTCCTGCAGCAACTGGTGGAAAACAGGATCTTTTTGGTGCTTTTGTTCTAGCATAATAATTTTGTTCTTTCGTATAATATGAATAAATACATATGTAGGCCTATATAAATAAATTCATGCTTGAATCATTCATTTAGTGACTGCCTGTGCTGATTCCATCGTTATTTTATCTGATAATGAGCAAATTAGTTAAACTTAAGGAGGTTAATCAATATGTGTAATTCAAGAAACTATGACTCACACCACTTTTCAGTTGATTAAAGATTCATATACATTTTTAATTTGTTTTGTATAAATTTACATTTTTGTAAATGCCTCTGATGCATTTTGAATAAAAAAAAACACATTTTATAAAAACACTCCTGAGATTAAATGTCTTTCGAACTATGTACGTGCAAACTAAAACAAGGGTCCTGCGTTAACACGCTCCAGAGATACGCGGATGTTTCTACACGCAATCGCCTCCACCACGATCTATTGGTTTTCATTAAACCGAGAAAAATGGAATTTTGTTTTATTTACGATCACTGAGAAATGTTCTATTATTTAGAATGTAAAAAACATTTATTATTTACTAGCCTAACTCTGGTTTTACCTGCGTAAGTGATTCCTTACAGGCATTTTTATTCACATTGGCAGAGGCTACGTTCACACTGCAGGGCTTAATGCTCAATTCCGATTTTTTGAAAAAAAAATCGATTTTTTTGCAAGACCGTTCACATTTCCAATTAAATGCGACCTTTTGTGATCTCCTGTGTGAACGTGAAATGACCCAGAAGTGACCCGCATGCGCAGAAGAGTAATCAACGGTCACTTGTTGTTTGCGGAATAGTTCTTTTTTTCCATATGTTACGAGCTTTTGTTTTATTATTATTATTGCCACAGCCCATATACAAACACAAACAATAAATATTTTATCGACGGGCAAAGTTTGCACATAAATGTAAGATTTTTCCGATCCTCACCCAGACAGCAAACTGACATTGAATCAACGTGGAAAGGACGTCTCTCATGACATTGAAACAACGTTGATTTGCTCATCGAATTAACGTTGAACCAACGTCAGACGCGGCATATTCTTCAAAGCTAAATGAAATCGAAAATTGGTTTGCTTTCATAACGTTGAAACAACGCGTTGATTTCAAGTTGATTTTCCGTAAGTTTTGAAAGAATGACGCGTCTGACGTTGGTTCAACGTTAATTCCATGAGCAAAACAATGTCAGATCAACATTGTTTCGATGTCATATTTCCACGTTGATTCAATGTCAGTTTGTAAGGCATGTTTACATGTGTTTTAGCCAGGTTTTCGCCTGGAAGGCTCTATAGAAATCTGGCACCCTACTGTACGAAGTTAGACAGATCGCGCGTTCACAGACACCAGAATGAACATGTTCACAGTAATGTTCATCGGGCAGTAATACAGTATGTTTATTTTGGGCGAACGTGAACTGTCACGTTCGCCCAAAATATGAACGCGTTCATGCACTATCGTTCATTGAACGCGTTCGGGCATAACACTGGGGAATAGACACGTCTGCAGTGGCCTATAGAGTGCAGAAACCTATGGCAGAAACGCGTGCAATGACGTGCGGGTCGGATATATGTGACCCACCTGGCCGTTCAGATTGAAGTCGCATTTCAAAAGATCGGATACATATCGGATTTGGACCACATACCCAAGTGGCCTGGGTCGCATTTGAAAAGATCGGATCTGTGTCGTTCAGACTGTCATGAAAAAATCAGATACAGGTCGCATAGGGGCAAAAAAATCGGAATTAGGTCGTTTCAGCCTGCAGTGTGAACGTAGCCTAATGAATTGTATATTTGATCTATTAATACTGTAAAAATGCTATATTTATTATCATGTTTAACTTTAAATCAATAGTTAGGCTATGTATTTCGTTATAGGCAAGGCTCATTTAAATTATTTTATTTTTGGGCCAGCTCAAAAGTTTACTACGAAGACTTGAAAAAAACTCAAAATAAACAATATCGTCAAATATTATTCATTATTTCAACATGAACAAATGTAAATAGAAATA